CCTCCCCGTAATCATACCGCTGCCACCCGGCATCAAATCCCTCGGGCGCCATGCCCATAATCTGCGTCTCCAGATTCCCCACCGCTTCGAACCATTCCATGAGCTCGCGCGTCATTTGCGCCCCGTCCAGCGGTGACTGCTCCTGCGTGCCTGTTGACTGGCTGGGTGCGACTTCCACCACGTTGCCCAGATCCCCTCTCTCCGCTGGCACTGCGACGCCTCTCCACTCCGGCTCCGGCTGACTCTGCACCGGCCGATGCATCAGTTGTGGGCCCAGCTTCCTCAAGCTTCGAATGGACTTCCACAGCCGCAGCGAGATGTAAGATCTGGTCGAGAAGCCCTTGATCAGCTCCAGGGCCGTGTAAAACTCATCCTTGCACGTGGTACTGAACTGAGTCGGTGCCTGCGTGACAGCTAGAAACACCACCGCGACAGCAGACACCAGAAACCAATTAAAAGTCACCTGCTGCAAGCGATAGATATCTGTTGTCTCGTTTAGATTGGTGATGAATCGGATAGACTCCTTCGCCAACTCCACCACAGTCTGCGACTCCGCAGGGTACTTGGCGATATGTGCCGCCGAGTGCAGCACAGGTCGATGGATCAGCATACGCAATTGATTCGCCCTCAAATACAGCAGGGACCGTAAGCGACGCAGGCTCCGTGGTTCCTCCTCGTCCTTATGACCCTGATGCGACTCGATCCTCAACACGGGAGGAATATCACCCGCCCATCGCTGGACTTGCCAATCGAGGTAATTCATCTCCTCTTTCTTAATCTCGTTCGTGTTGTTGAAGGCGGAAATAAACTTCCACACTTTCGCCGCGATCCGACTATACCGAATCATGACACACAGGTAGGGCGTCTTTTCCTCCGGTTCAGGTAACCACGGGTCAATGTCGCTGTCTTCGAGGGAAAATGGCATGCCGGTGCCGAAGCTCCAGCGAATATCGAGAATGTAAATGGACCAGAAGAGTCGGAGGACGCGGTCTTTGCCTGCTTTGATGATGGATGGCTGGCTGAGGGTTTCGCGGCGGTGAAGGCCTCGTTCGAGACACATGCGTTCGACGATGCCGATGGTGCGCCAGGCGAGGGTTTCTTCGTCGATTTGGAAGTAGAAGATGGCCTACAACTATTTAGCCACACATTCAGGAAAAGAAGGTATGTGATGTACTCACCACCAACGTCAAAAAGATGATATTCTTGATCCCCGCCGCTCCCCAAACGAAGTTATCCGCCACTTCTCGGACACTCTCGAACAAACTCATCGCCAGGGCACTGCTCCCCGCTGCCTCAGCCGTAAGCGCACAGGCAAATACCAGGCGCAGGATATGCACATCCGTCCTGTCCAGCTGTTCAGGACCGTCGGGGCCCTGAACGACGGGCACCCGGGGCCACGACTCGGCCCCATACAACAACTCCACCTGGTGCAAAAGCTGCGATAGCTCCAGCACAGGATACATGACTCCCATTTCCTCCTCGTACACGCGACACAACCGCAACGCTTCAGTCTTCCCGATAGTCCATAGTGGATCACCAGCGGGATGATGGCGCGTGCGTGGCGGCGACGCAGGCACAGGCATTGCTATCATCGCAGAACGATCGGCCTGGGTGAGACCACCCTCGTCGCCGTCAACGTCGCCGTCCTCAGCATCCGCGACATCGGGATGTTCCTCGACGATGCCGCGACGCTGAAGGCTAGATTTAGCTAGATCCAGACTGTACGCTGAAGTGGTAGGGCCTTGAAAGACAGACTCTTTTTCCTTAATGGAGGAGTGCCGCCGGAAGGGTCGCTGAGATGCTACGTCCGACCGCGGCAGTGCTGTTGCCGGTGAGACGAGGGTGTTTTGCGTCAAGGCGTGGACGGCGGTGGTGAGGGTGGTGATTTGTTCTTGCATTGCTGTCATTTGGATGAGCAGACGGTCGAGGGTTTCACTGGGTCGTATTAATGCTCTTTCTACATCTTTAGAGGAGAGGATTATCGTACTGGTTTTGTGTGCTGCTCTCTGGTCGCGGCGGAGATTCGTACACACAGTCGATGCGCTGGCGACCACATCGCTGGCAGGGTGACTGCCCGTTACATTTTATTTTACGACGCTTGCATTCATTGCTAGAAATTCAGTTAGATGCGATTATCAACGAACATTTGTCCAGTAGCTAAGGGAGGGGAGCAGCAGTACCAAGCTTTGGCGATGTATTTGCGACGGCGTTTGCGCGGTCGCGTCTCGTCCCGATCGCCGGGATCGTCGGTTGGGAGTCTCTCCCACGGCTCGATTGAATGGCCATCCATCTGATAAAATTTCCTGATGGGTGGATATCCGGAAAACAGCGATGAGATGTCCTCCAGGGGAAAAGAAGGCAGAATCGAAAGATGGAAGAATATTGCTGAGGCAGCGAATCCAGCGATGCATCATTGGATGGCGGCGGTGAAGGAGCGCCGATCGGCCACCACGGCGGGGTTCCGCAGTCTAGTTTGCAGCCGTTTCTTTAGCACGAGAATCCCTCTGGCTGTTATTCGTCAATCAAAGAGATGGCTGACCGGGCTACGGTGGGACAAGATGCAGTTCCTCGGCTGAAAGTGGGTTCAATGGGTTGCTGTGCTCGCTACGTGTCCTTCGTACGAAGTCGCACTGTGTCCACCCTAATGCCACGGAGAATGGCAGTAGCAGCTAGTGAGATAGAGATAACAGGTGGTGGAACATTCTACTGTGTATATACATCCAGAATCATAAAAGTCGTCACCATCCACTCTTACAAATCCTTCGTCCGCTCATCACTCTCGGCAATCCACTGCTGCAGCTTCGTCGGATCCCTCGGCGTAAAGCCCACCTTGAATGGCTTGGGCTCCGTCGTCAACCCCGTCGGGATCTCATTGCACTCGAGCGCATCCAAGATAGGCCGATCGGCCAGATCCCGCGATGGGTGCATCGTGAACGCGGTGATCAACCGGACGTAAGCCGTGAAGAGCTCGCGGTTGGCCAAATGGGAGCCGGCACACATGCGCGACCCAGCGCCATAGCCATAGTGCGGTGTGCCCGAACCCTCACCCACATCCAGATAGCGCTCGGGAATGAACTTCTCCGGCATCTTGAAGTGGTCTTCGTCGTAGTCGGCGGCCCAGGCGTTCTGGTTTGGTTAGCAATCACACGTCGTGATCTGGTAGGGTGCAAACTTACCATGAAGAAGGTCGTTCCGGCAGGAATAGTGGCGCCGTTGTACTCGATATCCTTGGTGCTCTCGCGGGGCAGGCAGATGGGAATGACCGTCCAGAAGCGGAGGGTTTCGCGGACCAGCGCGCTCACGTAGGGCACCTTCTCCTCCACCAAACACTTCTCCCAGGCGTCGCCGTTGGGGTAGACCGTCATAATTTCATCGTAGGCCTTTTGCTGGATCCGCTGGCCGTCCTCGGATGCCAGGTATGCAATGCCCATGACCAGGTTACCGGGGACAGTGTCTAGTCCGGCAGACACCATGGTGACGCAGATGGATTTGATTTCGGCTGGTTATTGTCAGAATTACTCCATTGAGGAGCGCGTGAAGAGTGCTCACCTTCGTTCAACTTGGCCTCGGGGTCCTTCAGAATGTTACCCGTGATGCATGGCTTGTCGGTGCCCTTGGCAATACGATCCTTGAGAATCTCCAGCAGATAGCTCAGATACTTGTCACGACGCTCACGGAACTCCTGCGCCTCGCGGTTCTGCTTGGGGAAGATACGAAGCAGGGGGATGTAGTCCTGCCAGTTGTTGCTGGTACTGCGGAAGTTGGCGACACCACGTTCCACATTGACGATTTCGTGCAGCAGCTCATCGTTCACATTGCCCTCGATACGGAACCCGTAGTTGAGGGTGAGACTGGTGTTGAGGGCGAAACGCTGGAAGTAGGCTTTGGGGTTGATATCGCGGGCACCGTTTTGGCTGTCCTTGAACAGCTCCTTGATACTCGCGGTGCATTCGAGGTCGATGATGGGCATGTAGGATTGCACGGCGGGGCGGTTCAGTGCGGTCGCAGCGGCCTTGCGACGACGCTTGCAGGATTCATCCCAGGGAGAGGTACCGATGGTGAAGCCCTGCGAGGAGGATACGACGCTGTGGAAAGTGTGGAAGGTGGGACGCGAGATGAGGGCGGACTGGTCTTTGATCCAGAGCTGGCGGACCGAGTCGAAGCTGTTGGCGAAAACAACGCGCTGGACAGAAGCAAAAAAGTGGGCGGGTCAGGAACAGGAACCGTTATCGATGGAATCTCCGATCGCATTTTACGTACCTTATTGCCCATGCGTACTTGGAACACCGGCCCAAATGACTTAGCCCATTTCCGGGCGACGACGGCATGCTGAGTGCCCAGTTGAAGGAGGTTGCCAAAGAGAGGCACGCCGGGGATTTCGGGGATACCTTTGATCTTGGGCACATCGGTGCGGTTCATGTACCGCACCAGGAAGTAGATGACCGCTGCAGCGGCGATGAGAATCGTCTGAACGGCCATGTTGGTAACGTAGACGATATGCTGTGGATTGTTCAGTTCCTGGGAAGAATGTGAGCGAGCGACGCGATCCCTTTATAAGTGTGCTGGCCGCAATGCAGCTATCCTCGGCTGGTGATGGTGGATACGATCTGGAAACAGCCACCCGCCGTCATCATTTCCCACGGCTCCATTTCCGACAAGCAAGAACGTCCAAGCTTTGGCTGGTCCAGTCCGGGCACTTTGGCTTTCTCTTTCCCCGCACTGCCGCTCCCAATCTTTGGCAATCAGCGGCCCGACATTGGCTTTCCACTCATGCCCCAGTGCGGCATTTCGGAATGTCCTTCCGCACGGCGGTTGGCCGCGGAACTTCCACCCCCGTAGTAGTGATGTCTGCTTGCAGACGAGAAATGAGGATCATCGCTTGATCGGAATGATACAAAGGAAGATAGATTGCAGAATCACGGATTCGCATGGAGTGTAGTCTCTAGTCTTACGTAAGTGCGTTGATAGCACCTCCTGCAGTGTCCTGCAGCCACGGATATCGGCAATATATATGTGGTGGTCCCGAAACCTTCTACGAATCCAATCGCCAAGGCATCACCCCAGACCTTTACTGGTAGTATGACCAGCTTCGTACTCGATGGTAGTACTTACTAGTAGTACTAATACTATTGAGGAGATCCAAAGTACGGATGCCTTTTTCGGCTGCAAGGAATGATCTAAGTCGTCATGTTCTAGTCTAGGTCTTCCTATGGAGCAAATCTACGTATACCCACGTATACCCGATGTCAACCCTTTATGTTCTCAGAAGAGCGGTACTGTCAAAGTTCCACTGGGACGACATATGAACAACAGAGATAGAAACTCCAACACAATTGAAGAATATATTCTAGAAATTATTTGTAATTCTCCCGGTACTCCTGCATCATCCGTTATTCCTCAAATGTCCATGTCCTTTCTACGTCCACTTAATAATCACGGCCTGCGTGGTCGCGGATGCGTTCCAGGATGATAGTAAGGATTTGGTGCATCATATGCACCTCCGGAACTCTGTTCGATGATCTCTCCGTGGCTGACCTACTCTTCAGAGAAACATGCGTTAGGCTTTGTAACGGACAATTATGATTCAAATATGGTCAGTTGAGAAGTACACCTTGATATGCTTATACATTCTCCGAACTGTACCACATCTAGTGCTGCTTTCCTACTTTTACTTTTTTACTTTTCAAAGAACTAAGGTCTGGAGGATATACCATACCCTGGAAACGCAAGGGTGTACTGTGGCAAGGGGTCTGAATAAGCACTACCCCCACCAACACCGGCAGCGGAACTACAGCTGCACGATGGATAAGACTTTGCGAATAAGCGAATCTTATTTGATTCCACATACAGTGAAGTACACGTGGCCCGACGCCCAGGTAAGACAGCACATCGAACAGAAAAGAAAAAAGAAAAAGAAAGAAAAAGCATAACGGGTATCTATGCATACATGGGGATCTTAACCGTCAATCATTACATGGCGTTATGCGGACCAGCCCAAAGAGGAAACTCCGACAGATCGCTCCCTGATATACCTCTACCGCAAACCAGACGCTTAGGCCATGGATGCCTTGCGCGAAATGGTAACCTGACTGGACCGACGGACGGCTGCGTGCCGCTGCCGATCCGCTTCCAGGGTCTGGGCAAACTTACTTCGAGCCCGAATCTCAGGTCCCTTCCAGTAGAAAATGTATATGGGGACCGTCACCAGAACGGACAGACAGCCAAGAATGGTGCTTGCCCATTGTAGATGAAATCTGCCACCGATGTTGGTGTACATGGGTGTTGCGTACATGGCTGAGAGTCCGGCAAGCAGATCTCGTGCAAAGCCATTGCCTCCCGTTGCGGACGCGGAGTATTCTCCATATGCAGCAACCATGTAGTCAATTGTCGCCATGTAGATGCCGTAATTGGCAATGGCAATCAGGAACACGAATACCAACGGCACGATCCAATGGGTGTACTCAGGGCCCATTGAGGTCCAGGCAAAACCAAACAATCCAATTGTTTCGAGAGGCGCAATGAAGAGCAGAAGCAGGAGGCGTCGCTCAGTGTATCGAGATGCATTTCCCTCACGGCGTCTCACGACTTGTTGACGGTAGATGTCGGGTAAGAAGATGCCGTAGGCAAACAAGTAGCCGATCACGATGGCAACGAAGCACAGACCAATTTGGACGGCATTGAAACCCCACTGTGCGAAGACTAAAGAGAACGACTCGATGCAGGTGAAGATGAGCGCATCAGAGAAACCAGAGAGCAAAGACAGGAAGAGCACAATAGGTTCACAGAGAAACATCTCGAAGGGTCGGCGCCAAATGTGTAGAACCTCCTTGATATCCAGTCGAGAAGGCTTGAACTCATTCGGCCCATACACATTGGGATCCTCGCCGGTTTGCCGTCGGCGTTTGGCCTCTCTATCAAGAAGGATCGTCGATCGAGTCTCACAAACAAGGAAAAAGTGCAGGAGCTGAGTAATACCACCAAAGATAAGCTGGATCCAGAAGTTCCACCGCCAGCTCAACCATTGCTGCATCATTCCGCCAAAGATTGGTCCAATGGTGGTGCCTCCCACGGAGGACAAGACCACGTAAGCGACAGCGAAGCCCTGGTCATCGGGCTCCCACATGTCAGCCGTCATTCCGAGAGTGACAGAGCCGCCTGCTGAGCTAATACCACCAAGGCCACGACAGACAACCATCGTTGCGAAGTTAGGAGCAAGCGCACACGGTATCTGCCAGATATTCACGAACAGAAGGCTGAGCTGCATTATCGGCCACCGGCCATATTCCTCACTCCATGGGGCCCAAAGTTCACAGCCGAAAGCATATGCGACAAGGAAAATCATTTGGCCTACCCGGGCCGCCTGTTCACTGATATGAAAGTGTTCGGAGAGTTGCGGGACGGCGTTGGAGTAGGTGCTGCTGTTGAAATTCATGGACATTTGCACAACGAAGATGACCGTAAGTATGGTCCATTTCTTGTGCCAGGGAAAGCAGAAGCCCAGCTTCTCGTAGCAGTCGTCTTCGGTAAGTTCTCGTTTCACGGGGCCGTGGAACTTCCCTTGGATTTCACTATCGTCATCTGGCTGTGTGGCATGCTCCGCATGCATATTTTCCGGTTGGCGATCCGGACTCAAGGCGCCCTCCTTTCCCGAAGGCTTCTCTAGAAGTTCTTTTGTATCCATGATGAGCAATTTGTTTCTTAGGCGATCCAAAGAAACACTGTTGTTATGGGGTTCATGAAATCTTTCACGAACAGGACAACGACCAAAGTCGTAAGGTCAATTTAGAGGTTAGGCGAGGATTGAAGTCCTGTACCAGCAGAACGGAGCTCCAGACATGGACAAGGAACGGGAAGGTGGGTGGATGTAGTATAGAAGGAGAGCGCCAAACCAGGAACAAGACGGGCGTCTTATATAGTAAATATCGCATACCTCAGCCCTGCAGAGCCAACATCGGAGAAGAGAGTGCTAGATTGCACCGCTCTAGGAAAGCAATGGTGGCACGACGTCATGAACATCGGAGTATCCGAGGGAACGATTGTAGTGTGTAGCAGTAGGCGTGCGGAGGGTGCAGCTCCGATATCGATCAATTGCCGTGGGGCCATGGCCGGGACGATCAATGAGAATGCCTGGAACGCTCTGGATTAACTTTCATTGCTTCTCTCCACCATTCCTGCGTCGATGAGGGATAGCCGCACATGGCACACTCAAGTGACACAATGCACTGCGCCTTGTACCCAACGCCTGCAAAGTCCCGCCCTTGAAAAAAGAAAGGAAGAATTTGAACATTTCTATGACAAATGGATCCGAGCTACACACCATCATCGGCATTACCCCAAGAGAAAGCCAATGCCGAAGCCATGAAAGACCTTCGATACTCATTGGGGTGTCGCGCCAATCAGCGGCTCAAGCGCTTGTCGGGGTGCCCAAAGCGGTAGTCCGAGGAGCGACCGCATCCAAAACCGTGAGCATTGTTTGGTCCATCCACCTTCACTAATCACCCATGACGCCATCCCAGAGGCAAAACGCTTGACAAATCCGGTTTGCAATGGGATGATATCCACGTTCTTACTGCATGTAACCCTGCGGCATGGCCATCCATGGACAGGTGAAGCGACCTATCACTTGACATGAACTAGTTTTGCTTGAACCAGCCGGGCATGGCCAACGTTGAGAATGGTAATGCCTGGTGGAAGCGGAATAGAATCACCTCATGGGGCGACCAAATGGCATCGCTGGCTCTAGAACATTGCATCTTCGAGAAAAACCGAGCACCGCCACATTCCTGGGGGCTGCTTCTAGACAATCTACATCAAATAACTCCTTACCGTGCACATTGTGTAGAGTACACCCTAGTTGATGCCGTCTATCCCTTGCTTTGAGAAACGGGCACTGGTCACGGCGCATTGCCGCCGTCGCGTGGCTGTCGGAAAAGAGACCGAGGGAGTGTCATTGACAACCGAACAGCAAGACGACTATAGCCTTCGATAACGGAAGTCAACGGCCAATAGCGTCCAAGGCTGCATTCACAATGTCCTTTGACAGGTCAGTGACTCTACCTTTCACGGCACCTTCTTGGCGTTACCACTACATTCATGAGATGATGCATCTGGTAGTACGATAAACATCCCGAGATTGCCAAGATGTTGACCGAGCCGAAAACGTCTCGGGTCGGCATCGGTAGGGCTGGTGAAACGCTTTTCGTACGGAATGTAACCCTTTTGAACTGGCCGTACTGGTCATCCAATCAATCGCCCATAGAGGATAACAGGATGGGTGAGTCGAACACCGAACAACTATATCAAATGTTCCAGTCTCACATATCCTTGTATCATGCACGCGGAGGGGTCTAGGCTCAGGAAGAGGCGAAGGCGGATAGACTGAGGTATCCTTGTGTAGCTCGATCACTATGCTGTTTGCCAGTAGTTTTCACGATAACGAGCCAGGTATGGAAGCGTTGTTGATATGGAGTACCGGACTGGTCCCTCGTGGCTATCCGTGGAACATGTGCCATTGATGCAATTCCATTGGCCGTGCTTGCATGGGTTAGACAAGATGTTACATTCCTGGCATGTAACCCTGGCGGTGCTAGCAGGCATGAAGGGAGAAATGGGGAGAAATGGGCGAGGAATGAGGAGGGAAAGGAAAAGAAAGGGTCACTCCCTTGCGCACTCGGCAAGTGTTGCCCCCCGTATCCGGGGGCGCCGAAACATTCCTCATCGGGAAGGCAGAACAGCAGTCCACCATCTGCCATCTCGCACCATATCTATCTACATTCTGCATGACTCTACACAACTGGCCCCTTGCTGATCCCCCACACTGTCTTCTGATTAAGCTGCATCGTTTAGCCCATCGCCTCGACATGAAGATGAAGCCCAATTCTTGCCCATTGTAAGGAAAAGCAACCAGAAATCTCTGATCCACAACGCCCCCGCAGACGGGAGATCGGTTAGAGTATGCCGGACCCGCAATCTGGCCTTCAGCCAGCCCCTCAAAAACTCAAATGCCGGGTGCTAATCATCGTCGTTCAGAGGTTGATCTAGATCGCGATCCAACTCCACTCCCTCCCCATCCCTCTTATCGTGACTCGGATACCGCTCTGTATGGACACCCCATGACAAGCCCACTGCCCACTTGTCCTATCGATCCTGTAATCTAGACTGGCCTAAACAACCCCTTTGTTGATCTGCAGCGATGGTTAATTGGGTAAGAAGCCATCATGGCAATACAGGCTGGCCTAGACTAGCGAAAACTGGCGCGTGATAGAGTAAAGGTACTCGGCAGACATGGCAGAACAAGTTGGCAAGGTCTAATGCACCCTAAGGACCAAACCGCTTGTAGATCTGCACGAGTGGGGTGACTGTTCAACCGAGTACATCAATCACTCTCCAGGGAAACTGGCTTTTGCTTTCCAGGTCCCGAAAAAAAAACGCCAGGCCTTGTCTTCTGTCCCATTTCCGCCTGCCGGGGATTATCACAGAAGATCTGGCACAAACATTGTGTCCTGACCGAGGCACTACCTATTGGTTTCGTGGAGAGGCGGTATGTCGCCCATGGGGTCATAGCTCTCGCATACCTCCTCCCATAACGAGCCCTCAATGACATCATCAAAGATGAGCTGGCCGTTCAGAGGCAGCTGAAGCCAATCGAAAGCATTCTCCATGGGATCTAAGTGGCCGGAAATGTTCATTGATTCAAGTGTTGTGGTTGGTGTTCCTGTTTGTCCCGCGGAAACGGAACCATCACATTCAGCTCCGCGGCGCCACACGGATGACTTCATGGTATTCGGGTGGACTGATACGTTCCCTTCACGTTCTAAGAATGTAAGAGCTTTGATTGCGCGATGGCTGCTGTTGTTCGTTGAACTTAATTGGCCCAAGAAGCGGAGGTTGAGGCGGTAAAGGTGTGTTGTTCGTTGAGACAAAGTGGTATCAGTCGACTTGGCGTTCAAGAGATGCATGAGAGATGAAATTGCCAAGCTATGGACAGCCAATGGGGACAAGGCTTCCTAAATCATAGTTCAACATTTCAGGTTAGACTTCATTCTAGGCAAATTTGCACACAAAAGAGACAAGAAAAGAGGGCGCTGCCGGTTATTCATCAAGTGGGCATACCAATGGATAGAGGTTTCTATACGCATTTACAATGGAAGTAATGCGAATGGCGGAAAACGTTGCTGATTGGATATGTACCATATCCGGGCACTTCATTTCCTCCAAGTCATGCATCGATGGGACCGCCTTGATGAAGGGACGATGAAGCATAATTTTCAGTGTGTGATATAGTAAGCTGGACATATGTTAGAGTTTCAACATCCAACCTCATGCTCTTCTGGGAGTACATACTTGAATTGGTAAACAGGTGGGCTTGGCTGCTTCGTGGCGGTGGCAGGGAGTCTGAGAGTACTAGGTAAATTGTTGTAAAATTCGGACATGGCAACATGAATTTTCGTGGCTTTCTCTTCCCTTTCTTGAATGCTGACGGAATATGTGAATGCATAACTTGATGAGTGGTTAGTTTGGATCTTTGCAGAAGGCTGACACTGCCAGTTCTATGCAGTAGCCACTCACATTTCATCCAGGACAGGCGATACCATCCGTAATAGGTTACATGCATATTGAAAGTTTGACATACTGGAATACATCAGTTCAGGGGCTGAACTGTCAGATGACGGCCACAGGCGGTATTCGATGCTCGGAATGATTGGGACTGGTCCTGGATACATGTCACCTTCTCGTACAGCGCTTGGTTGCCCAAGAATCTGGGCTATATGCCTTCTACAATGTCAGCCATGTGGTTATGTTGATCTCAAGACGAAACTAACTTTTCCAGCAACCAGACACCCCACCAAGCAAGTGATTTGGCTTCTTGGACCTCTTTTGACCCTTGGGTCAATTCATTCATAGTAGACAACACATGAAGTCCAAGAGTCAAAGATTGTCGAAAGGCGATCCCTGAAACCTGTGAGTATCTGGACCACGGTGATGTCAGACAAGCTTACCGATATACTGCGAAGCAGATGAAAGTCTATCGAGTGCTAATTCCCTCAGAGCCATAAGAGCTGCGGCCAGAACAAGGGACAGACTTGGATATTCCAGTTGTGCGAGTATTTTTCCCTTTGCATGCATAGCAAGGGCCTCGGATGATATTCCCCATGCGTGAAGCTGTGTTTCACCGGCATAATGGGCACTGTAAGCTAGTATTGCTGCGAACAACGTTGGGGTGGCATAGCTGCCGACTCCACCATTGGTCAAATCTTGCTGGAACAGAGGCTCATGGACAAGAACTGGCCATGTATTTCTCCAAGTCCAGAATTCCTCCAGCAGATGGGCTTGTAGATCATAGGGAACGAGGATTGGATCTTCCGACAGTGATTTATCATCTTTCGAGGTGCTTACTGGGCTAGAATTCCGCATTTGTTCATCAAGCTCTCCAGAGCAGAACAGCCCGTACGCCCCTGACAGTCGGAAATCAAGTCTGAAGCCTGAAAGAGCTTGAGATGTATGCTCTACACTCGGCGGATTTAGCGCTTCCTCGGGCTTATCGGACCCGAATGTTGAAAAAGTACTATTATCTGTAACATTTCGGGCTGTTGCCAGCTGATGTTCCAGAAAAGCAATGCGCGAGTGGAGTGCATGAATATAGCACTTAGTAGGAGGCCTGGGACTGTATCAACAATAATACCAAACAAAGCCTCTAGAGTACATACTTTCGCTTCTCGAGGTGATACGTATATCCACAGTCGCGGTCCTCTCTTTCACAGACCTGACAAATAGGCTTCTGGCCATCGCACTATGTTCCGGGTTAGATCCGCAGCCAGTTGCTATCTGCCTTGAGACTCACCCGACATTTCTTCTTTCTACATGGTATACAGGCAATGGAGACACGCTTTCTTCGTTCTGTAGCTGGCATTTTCAAAGTAGCGAGATGATGAGGTATTAAGTCGATGTGCATGAAAGGCTTGATTGAAAATGGGTGACCCTGAGACTGTGGGCCCTGAGCGGGGTGGTTTGTCAGCAGAAAAATGGGGCGCAACTCAGTTAAAGTTGAGGATCCTGTAATCCTAATTATTAATGTTAGTCCGATTTATACGAGCATCTACTACCATACGGTCATTCTCGTCGAACAATATCATACAACTGAAAGTATGGTCCAGAATTGTTGTTTTCGACCAAATGGTAAGTATCTTTCAATAATAAATCAAGTCATCTAAGTTGAGTTTGAAAGATTTTATTACGGGTATTCTCCTTTGCATACTTCTCAACCACCTCAACCACTGTGTTATTCTAAGCCTTGTTTTCTCCGTCTTTTCGTGCATTCCACTCCCGATCAAACCGAGTAAGCGCTCTCTGCGCTGTAGGCACGCAATCCAGCGCCTTAATCGTGATCCTCTCAGGGCAGCTGACCATATACCATACTGCTTCTGCAAGATCTTCCGGTACCAGGGGTTCATAGCCGTAGAAAAATTCATCCATCGCGTTCTGATCATACTTGACGCGCTGAAGATGGAAATGGCTGACCACACAGCCCGGTCTGAGGACTGAGACACGGATGTTCGATCCAGCCGTTTCCATACGCAAGCTATTGGTAAATGCCTCAAGACAGGCCTTGTTTGCGTGATAGACAGCTTCGCCTTCAAAAGGAGGGCATTCAAGCCCCGTAACGGACGAGACGTTTATGATAGTGCCGCGCTTTCTGGGCCACATGCTCTGGTTCAGCACGCTGTGAGTCATATACATCACTCCAGTAATGTTGGTGCCATTCATTTGCTCCACCATCTCAATAGGGAGTTCCCAGAACCTTCCTGGCGCACCAAGGGCGAGACCAGCCTTTGACAAGAATCAATTGTCACATCTTTTATCTCGAACAGCGAAAGCAAACTTACATTGTTGATCAAAACCTCAATATCTCCTAAAGCGGATACGATAAGTTTAACAACCGCATTGACCTCCGCATGACTTTGGATATCAACACTATAGGCGCGAACATTGACATCGGGGCATTTGCTCTCGATTCGAGCCTTCACAGCCTCCAGCTTGTCCTGAAACTGTGTCAACAACTGCTGTATAATTGACGTTCTTTATAATCATTACCCCGCTTCTCGCTAATAGAGCGACATCCATACCCTTCTCTGCCAAAGTCATAGCAATTGCTTCACCGATGCCCATAGAGGCGCCGGTCTTGATATGGGTAGCAATGTGTTAGCACCGGACAGGAAAAGGACGCCAAATGAGGCACTCACTATCACCGCCGTGCGGCCTTTCAAATAAGACTCCATTATAAAGCCGTTTAATACTCTAGCAATTCACAATTCCTTTCCAAAGGATGTTACAGCCAGTTCTGCTGTCTTGCTATGCGCACCTTAAGTCGCGGCCGGTGGGGGTCAATCATATTTGGTGGGGTGAACGGGTAATGCCATTCCGAAGTGGAGAACCCCGACTTGGCCAACTCTGGTTATGATATCAGCGTAGATTTAGGCCCAGTATATACTATGATTCTATTCTAAAGGGTACAAAGACGTATAAATTAACCTAACGTTGATAATGCGATTTTGAACTTTGCAACATATTGTAGCCTTCTCCCTGATCCGCAGAATTTTCAATCCCCTGTCCCCATCAACCGAGAATAAACCCAAACATGGCAAACGTCAGACCATTTACTGTAAGTTAGCTGATGGCTAGCGTGGTTAATGATACTGAAAAGGAATATCTGAAGGTCCATATCTCCGAGGCCCTCCTTGAAGAAGTCAAAGCGAAGCTCAAGCTCGCCCGTCTAGATGAGCGTATGGGTGAAGTGGAATGGAACGACCTGGAGATTGGACACACGAACATCAAACAGCTAGTAGAATTTTGGCGCGATGAGTACGACTGGAGAATGTTTGAAGTTTTCCTGAATACGTTTCATCACTTCAAAACGTTGATACAAGTTCCTGGTTTCGATGTCTTGGACATTCATTTTCTGCACCATCGCTCATCACGGACGAATGCGATTCCTCTACTATTTGTTCATGGATGGTACGGTAACATACTGCATCTGGTTTGCTGTTTAACGTGCTAATACGACTTTGTTAGGCCAGGGTCCTTCCTGGAATCTTTGAAGATCATACCATTGCTGACGGAACCTCCAGAAGGACGGCAGGCGTTTCATGTCGTTGCACCATCTTTACCCGGATATGGTTTCAGCGATTTTCCTCGGAAGAGCGGATTTGGATTGGAGCAATATGCCGATTGCTTTGCTCGACTAATGACCACGCTTAAATACGATAAATTTGTTTGTCAGGTAGATCATTACTCTCCTCGAATGATTCGTTTTCAAGGCACTTATCGACCGTTCAGGGTGGCGACTGGGGTTCGTCCATCGTTCGATACATGGCATTGGGGCATCCAGATAAAGTGCTCGGGATCCACATCAACATGTTCTTAGCACTTCCCCCAAGTCCAGAGAGCTCGCCTGAGAAATTTCGGCGGTACCAGGATATGGCTTATGATACGCAAGAGTTGAAGAACCTGGAGAGGACAAGATGGTTTGGACACAATGAAGTTAGTGAACCCACTAGATATCTGACTGCGCTCTTTGAATCTGACTAAAATCATTTGCAGCGCGGGTATCAGCGGGTTCAGGAGACAAAGAACGTGACGCTCGGTTACGCGTTACATGACTCCCCCGTTGGCATGCTGGCTTGGTTAGTGGGCAAATTAAAGGCATGGACTGACGACTACCCTTGGACAAAAGAAGAACTCATCCATTGGACATTCATACATTATCAAGGAAGTCCGAGTGCCGCAATGCAAATCTACAAGGAAGCAGAAGCAGTTCTTAATGAAGACAGAAACAGTATGCTGGGCAAATATATATCCCAGCCTGTCGGCTGTTCAATTTTTCCGAAGGAGGTATGTTGGCTGCTGTTGTGTTAGTGTATCGTGAGCTGACATTTCATTCATGGTGAAAGCTGTGGTTATATCCTCGTGACTGGATGAGCGAGACATGCAACATTCAGTTTTGGAGGCAACATAGATCTGGGGGACATTTCATTGCGTGGGAACGACCAGAGGCGTTGGTGGAGGATGTTGCAGAATTCTTCGACAAGGAAGGACCAGTAATTAAGAATGTTGTAAGCCATGGCTGAAAGAATAAGAGGGTACCAAGAGAAGATCAGACCACTACTTTGGGTCGGTCGATGAAGTATGAATAATATCTCATGACGTGCCCTGCTCTACTTTCCTGGTTATCGCTTTGTCATGCTCCTCTACGTTATGCGCAGAACAACTTGAAGAACTGGGGTTAAGATTTAGACGAGGACTGTCAATTCTGAGTCCACAATCCACGCCATGCATCCTGGAATCTGCCTATATATGCCCCCCTCTCCTCCATTAACTCTCGCTTCCTCGGAATTGAACCGAAGTGCGAGAATCTAATCCTGTGTACTGCCGAGCACTACTGCCGACTAATCCACAAAGCGTTGTTAGAAGATTGCTACTCGAGCATTTGACTCATGTGCCTTAGTGGCTAATCTTAGTATGTCGGTTTCTCTAACAATCCCTACCTGGAATCCTGGGAAGCTCTCATTCCGACAAGGAGAACTTCATGGTATGGGTACATACTACAAAGGTCTTCTAGGAGGGCACTGTTGGTGTGGTTTGTTTACTACTAGTAGTATCCTAACTACATATATAAATATATCAAACATTCAGCTTACCACGACAGTTACGAAACGCAGAATAGGACTGTGGGTATAATGTACGACGTGATATGTTCTTTATAGGAATTAGTGATGTTGGAATGATGTATAAGCAATGAATAGGACCAAAGTTTCGGAAGCTCACAGTACCACTGGCCTACGGGTGCGTCGTTGATTATCAGTCCCGTCCATGTAGAATGCTTCTGGATCCGAGTAGGTAATCGAGGACATCTCTCCGGAACATGAATTTTCTCGTATCGTATGAGGGTTCACCGAACGGTTCTGTGTGCCCTGTACAGGGTATAGATAAACACAATTTTACCGGATATAGAGCCAGCAGTCCCAAAAGTCAGTCAGAGCGAAGCTTAAGCCAAGCCCGCGGCAGGGCTTCTTCTGGAAGGGAAACCTGGTACCGCTGGCGATGGGGACTGCTTATTGGCTCGCAGTTCCGACTTGTTCTTGGCATTTATTGCGCTAAGCCTTTCCTGGGGTGAGTTTGCGAGTGGCCCCATAGGGCGACGACAGCGCTAGTCCATAAAGAGTCGGGGGTCCAGAGCACGTGACATCCACGGAGCGTCGATCCCGCCCGATATCCGATTGGTGGCGGAAGAGCCGTCGGACTTCCCCTCTTCGAGACGGGGAACCTGAAACCTGCAGTCGCTGCCAGCTTGCTATCCTTTTTTCGCACTGGAATCAATCACGACGTCCGCTCTCGCAAGCACTGCCTATTCCTGTTCCATGCAAATCACAGCCTCTTCTATTCTCCGAGCTGACCTGCATCTGTCCTTGCCTGCATCTGGTAGCTTCGTCTCCGCCGCTTATACACATGGTGTTCCCTGGAAGGCTTAGCACCGGCTGCTATGTATGCCGGAGGCGTAAAGTTAAGGTATGTTCGGTAACCAAGACAAACACTGTCCTGTCTGTCCATCTACGTGCTACTTAACTGACCTGGGACAGTGTGATGGGGCTCGACCAGCATGCCGTCGCTGTGTCACACAGGGAAGGCAGTGCACGGGTTATCCAGATGCCTTCGCCTTTCGTGAATACAAAGCCACGAAAGGACCTCAAACAGGCAAGGCAGTAGCCAGGAAACGAGGCAAAAAGACGGCAGACGGCGAACAGCCCTCGAGTGGTTCAGCATCACCGTCTGCAGCAGTATCAGACCAGGATGGAACTGACACACGTCTGATTGCCATTAAATCCCCTCTACACCACCTAGCCCTCCTGCTGCGATAACTCCATGTCTGGAGTGGCAGTCGCTTTGTTATTTCTTTCACCAGCATGTTCTTCCCACAGAAAAGTCTCCGTGTGAAGGTCATCTTGCGTTTCTTCCTGAGCTATATCAAGAGAAAGGGAACGACCCTTCCCTGAGACATGCTATCCTTAGCGTATCCTACCTCTCGTTATTCAACACCGCTCGCGTGAATGAGCTTTATGTGAATGCTAGGAAGCACTATGGCGTGGCCTTGAAATCTCTCACAGCGTCACTCAGCAACAAGGAGACCTCGACTCAAGACGAGACGTTTGCAGCTGCACTTTTCCTGAGTATGTTCATGGTAAGTCTACCAACATCATCCGGAATAACCGGATACGCTTGCTTACCAATCATCAGGACCTAAGCGGCGAGAGACAGGGGGCAGTAAATCCTCACATCCCTGGAATCTGCTCCCTAATGCATCTTCGGGGCAGGCCGCAGCGCAGTAGCAAATATGCCCGCAAGCTGTTCGGTTGGGCATTCACTCAAATAGTAAGTCGACCCACTGTAATCACAGTACCGATTGTTGACCGAGACCCTGCGTTGCAGCAAATACAAGCGGTAGCCAATAATCAGTTTGCGTATGCCTGCTTGCCAGCGTCTATCAACATGGCGTACAATCCCGACTACGTGCTACGCTCGGGCATTATCACCAGTATGATCTCCGGGTTCTGTCAGGGGGCCAGCGAGTTCCGAAGAACCGAACACAACTATCCACCCACCGCCAGGGCCCGGTTACTGCATTCCCTGCTAGGACGGGCGTACTTCATTATGGAGCAAATCAGCATCTGGGACGAAGCAGTCCCTCAGCATTGGAAACGACAATTCGCCACGCCGGCTATGGGCCATTTGAATCATGCAGAGCAGGCTGCTTCACGAGATCCATGGACCCCCTGCTTTTTGGCCGTTGTCCAGGCCGCCCAAATCCTCTATTTCATCCACGTGTTCGAGTGCTGGGAGAAGTTCGTTCCACTCGCATCTGCGATAAAGGATGAGCATCTTGAAAATTTCCCTGTAGAAACATTCAGCGGGATAGACGATCGGATCAGGGGCCTGATAGACGTGATTTGCAACACTGTGACTTGCACGTTAGGACATATCACCCCGAAGCATGAATTCCAGCTGCACCCCAACAGCAAGCTGGCGAATGGATACACGCTTCTATGGCCGATGTGGGTGGTTGTAAATTCTGGACTTGCGACACCAGATCAATTGGACCTCTGCCGGCTTGCTCTCGAGTGTGTTGGTTCCACCATGGGTTACCGGCTGGCCTCTGTCCTGTGCGCGGATGGTAGACCGGAAGAACCTCGTTCGAGCATACTTGAGCAATCCCCAATGACTCGCAGCCTCACCGTTGTACAATAAGCTGCACCTTATGAACATTTCATGCCGTGTTATGAGACGCGATGACCATTGTGACTTTATACCCTCCAGGCGAAAGCAGTTCCAGTGACTGTATGCCTCACCTTATTTCCATGTCGCATTTCCTGTTAGAGCTGAATACCTTCTGACGAATTAATATTTCCGTTACCTCTTTATTGATGGAAATGGCCATTTTCTTACCTGTATCTATTCCACTCAAACGACTTGTATCCGCGCTGGGTAACTCACCCCTATCTTAGAGAGCAGGGAGCAAAGCAACTTAAATACTTCTCAGGGGGTATTCTCCAGGACGCGGATTGAAAAGCAACAACTCCTACTGGACAATAGGCAAATAGAAAAGTCTACTAGAGCGAGAAAAGGACAAACCAACACCCGAAATCCCCCACTGCTTGTTCGCAAAGGGACCCCAGAAAGGGTTAGTGGGGGTGATCTTCGTAGGGCTGTACAGCATCAGCCGGGGGCTGAAGTGCCATCTACTCGGACACATAAAGTCTAGGCCAGCAATTGTGACACGGATTAATTTGCATGTGTTTGCTGGATATCGCCCGTGTTAGTATTGCAGGCGGAATTGGTCGGTTCGGGCCCGACTTGGGCGATGCCGACGGACTTCGGGGAAGACTGCGGTCGGGGCCAACTGCCGAATGTGGAAATCGGCGGCGAGGACCCAGATTGACCAGCAAAGGTCTGTGTGGGACTCATCGCAGCACCAATACGGTGTCAAGAGAAAATACCACTGTCTTCAGTGCTCAGAAACTTTGTTCGGGCATACGACATTGTCTACCCAGATGATATGTGATGGATGTAGAATATGTAGTCTCAGACTCAACAGGCTATGCAAACCCAACGCCGTAGAATTAAAACATGACGGAAAACAGGTTCAAGAAAAGTGCTGCCATTCAGTGCCATACAGGACCCCAGTAGTCATTGTCCCCTTGAAATGCACTGTCAAACTTCTGGCATCGTGGGTGATCATAATCTTCCTGTGATCCCTGTGGCCAGATAGGAACAGCGCAAAATTCATCATCCTGGCACCCAGAACACTCTTTCCAAACACTCCAGTCAAGATAATGCATTAGTTCCTGCAGAATATTTGTCGCTGTACTGTATTCCTCAGCCTCCATGACTGCCATAAGACTGCTGCAGATCCTGCTGCTAACAGTATAGACAGACCGGTAGCCCAGAGAATTCTTAGGTGCATGAACTGGAATGAACTGGCTAGCGCAGCGGTCAATCTCCGCGTAGTAATCACGATTGTCGCGATCGACAAAAGGAGATAATATACGCTCCGCAGCCTCCACAACAAACTCCAGATGAGCAGCCTGATCATCATGTTGAGCGGATACTAATCCGCGGAGAATGCGACCGTATTTCTCAACCACCATGTCCGCCACTGCTTGCCAGTTTATCACCCGTATTGTTGGATTGTGAGTCATTACCAGGGCCGTCAAATCATCTCTAATAGGCGCAAGCGACGAAGCAGGGAGATGCGCAAGCCGCGGATGCTTGCTACCGCCGGGAAACAAATCAAGACCATAGTCATAGGCAGTGACGAAAGCGTCATAGTTGACAATGACTCGGTCGCCGCCAATGCCATGATACCTGGACGTGACAGTCCGGAGCAAGTCACTAGGTTTGCCGCTCTTCTTTCCGGGATCCCGGCTGGGAAGAGTGACTCGTGCGATGGTCACTGTCTCCAGATTCTGTTCCGGGTTGCACAGAATGATCTCAAACCCAGCCGCCATGCGGATCACACCGTCGATACGTCCATTCCATTCCTCTTGGGCAATTTCACAGATTGCCTGAGCGCGCGCTGACTCTTGGCTTACGCCTCCTGGCTCCAGTTTATCTTCGAAAAGGACTCTGTCCTGCAGGTCCAGGGTGCCTATTTGGGACTTTCCTGCCGACGTACCGTCGATGTAAACGAGTCGAAGGTCTCCCGTGGTCGCGTAGGTGTGAAGCCAACCAGTCTCAGCTGGGGTAATCATCACTTGCTGCGACTCGGAGTCCATGCCGTGAGATGGTAATTTGGAAGGAGGGCGAGCGAATACCATCGCATGCTCGGGGTCGAAAGCCATCCAGCCTATCCTGGAGATAGGGTCTGAGCGTGCATCCCCGTGGTAGAGCTTGACTCCCTTCGGAACGGAGGCAAGAAAAAAGGACATTCCATTATGATGGAGTGACGATCCCCACTGTCGCATAGAGGAGTGGATGGCGTTGAAGATGTGGTTGGCGTTGTGCATGGGCTGCGGTTCCCCGATGGCGAGGGCTGTGGTGGCTGTAGTCATGGTGAAGGCTGCTAGACACGTTAATAGGAATGAATGAAACATGATCATCGGAGTGTCTGAGATTCGATGGCTCTCACCTTCTTCTTAGTTTTTCGGACTCTCGTATAGTTAAATATCGGCTGGGTATGTTGTTGTCCGCAGCTCGGGGGATCCACATCGATCTCAAGCTACGAGCGCTTATCCCCGAGGCTTGCTCGCCACCTAGTTCATCTTTCATTCCCTGTTGATTGACGCGTACTACGATTTTCGTCATGCAGGATCGGAGGTGAAGACGTGATTGATGCTGGTTCTTGCAATTGTTCCCTTTACCCTCATTCTCCAATTCCAGATCGGATGATCCAATCAGCCCTACAAAGATGCATGCTTGTCAGCCGAAGGTGGGAAAAATAGTTGCAATTTTGATTCACGAATATAATTAGTTCCTCTAGTTTTTCCACCGTAGCAGCATTATGAGGCGGGAAATAACATTCCCAGCCCGTTCAACCGAATACAATCATCACCATCACTAGCTGTTGCCTGGCCGTGCGCGGTAGGCAACCTCGTTTTTCAATGCCCCCATCTTTTCTCGCCGCCTTCAAATCTCATTAATGGTGTTCACCACAACACCGACAGTATAAAACTCAACCACATGCTCAGGCGTTGACTTCTCTGGTAACAATCTGCGAGGGCATCATATCGACCTCCTTGCTCTTCTCGATCACCCCCTCACTGCTGGACCGACTGGCAGCCTTTTTGGGGCGGATTCTACGCATGCAGGCAGAAAAGAACGGAATGTATCCGTAGCGCTCATTGTACCACATGCAAACATAGCCGGTGATGATGCAGATCCAGTACAGGTTGTATCCCAGCACGGATCCATAGGTGGCAGAGTTGGTCCAACCGAAAAGAGCGTTGAAGATACCCCATCCGCCACCGCTGCCCAGTTCGGGGTTACAGCAGTTGACGTGCCAGACACTCTGGCGAATATCGTAAGAACCGGCTCCGGAACCCGTTTCGGAGGCGTCACCACCGATGATGTTGTTCCAGGCGTTGTTCTGGAGGTACCAGATGGCACGGGAGAAGAGACCAGCGGAGACGAGGTAAAGGAAGCAGGTCGAGATGATCAGGAAATATTGCAGAGAGGCGGTGTTACCACATCTAGTTAAGGGGAGGATGTTAGTCTGGGCTGCAAGAGCCTCTTAACACGAGGGGAGAAACTAACCTGTACAGAAGATATCCGACAGCAATACCAGCAGCAAGACCACAAACGACGGCGAGAGGGAACGAAGTCGCAGGGAGACCAAGACCGACACCACCAACATACACGACGGCTTCAAGACCCTCACGAAGAACAGTCACGAACGGAAGAAGGAACATGACATATTTCTTGGACCAGTCTTTGAACCGCTGGTAGATACCGATCTTGGTCTTCTCTTTCTCTTCGAGAGCCTGGGCCAGCTTGTCGCGCCACTTGTCCTGCAGCTTGGAGACACGCAGAAGACCAGCACCCATGATACTGATAATGATAGAAGCGATGAAACCGAAGATACCTTCCCAGATATCCTCACTACCGGTGAAGACATCCTTGTTGAGGCCGTAGAAGGCACCAATCATACCACCACCGACGCAGAGACATATGAAAAGACCTAATGCCACACCACACCATACCTGGATCGTGTAAGAGGGGAGAAAAGACGTCTGTATGGGGAAGGAAGGAAACGTACATGTCGATTTAATCGTTTTAATGTTTTTACGTCGCCTTCTCCTCCTAGTGTCTGCTTCAGGAAAGACAGAAGCACGGACACGATAATGACACTCTCGAGACATTCACGAAAGCAGATGAAGAACACTGTAGAGTGTGAGCACTGGATCGGGGAGCGAATGCCTTGCAATACTGGGTTGCAAGAGTCAGAGGAATCATACCCGTCACTGCAAATACCTTGTTGGCCATCTTGTCGACAGTAAGCCTTGTCAAAGGCAACCCCAAGAGACAGTGGAAAGGGTCAAAAGTGAATAAGAGTCCAAGCCAAAGGTCCTGTCCCAGTCCCTGAGATGACCGAGGGAGATGAATGCAACATATACCCCAAGGGATCAACCAAAGATTCCTCTAAGTCTTCTCCGATTCCCGCAACCCATTCGGATGCGTCTTTTCAGCGGCTCAGGTGCCACTCCATCAATCCATAGAGGCACTTCACCGAAATTGCCATGGCACTAGGAACAATTTCGACCGGGACTCCAGCGTCCGGGTGTATACGATGTTGAATTACCTACGTAACAAGAATGGCCACTCCGGTTCTCGCTTATCAATCTTCACAGGGAATAATCTCTGGTCGTATGGCTAAATAATGGCTATCGCGGCATGTAAAGGGTCTCAAGAGGCGTGGCCTTGGTAACTAGAAGCGGGTCAAGGATGTTTGCCAAGCCTTAGGAAAAAAATCTGATAGCGAGGAGTCTGAAGCGATTGGTTCACGGGAGTCATGGGCATGGATCAGATAAATCCTACCCAGCCAAAAAAATGGTGCCCCATCGGCGGATGGTTGAAGTTTGGGTTGATAGTCGGGTGTAACGATACAGTTACCGTATTCCGGATACTTCGTCGTCTTGCCAAGAGATGCGCCAAGACATGGCATTTTCACGGTTTTACTATGGACAGTGCTCCTTCAACAACAACAACCACATACACAGAGGCATGTGCTGCAGTTGTCTCAAGGTACCATGAATCCTCTCTTACATAAAAAAGAGCCTTTTTGAAATTGGCATCACGTCACAATATCATTACTATGCAACAATCGCAAAGCAACAGCGCATTTGGGAATCCCTACTAGGGCACCTGAACCAAGACCGTGGGTATGGGTGAGAGATGGCTATAGTACTAGGGCTTAGTGAAAATGCCAGGCTAGACAAATTACGGTTGCGTGATGTGGGACCCCGATGTTGGAAATTATAACTTCATAGTTGGGAGGACTAAGGTTTTGGAGGGGAGCCAGCTAGAGGGACGCCAGAGTACCCAAGGCAGAAATCTTTTCCATCGAGGCTACTCACACTAACCAGCAGTATACTCACTTGACTAGTGCCTTATCTCCAAGCCTTGAGGCGCCAGTACGGTCATACAATCACTCTTTTTCATCCTCAACCAAGAATTGTACACTAACTTGACCAATGCCGAAGCACACAGGACAGCTTCAACCATATATAATACCGCCATTCAATATATGCTTCACTAGCCACCTATGAAAGGCTCCCGAGTGCCCCCGTATAACGGTGATGTGCATTGAACAAAGGAGATTCTTTGGAGGATCGTCAGGCACGATAGACGTAAAATTACCACCGTTCCATACAAGTATCATTGATTGATAAGATGACCCAGTGAAAACGGGACTGCCGTGAGAACTCGGTTGCACCATGCAATCCTAGCGTTGTCGCTAATTAAGCTTTAGGTTAGGCTCGCAAACTAATTCCTTTCTTTCTCAGAACTTTCCCTCGGGATATCAGCGGCGGACCAGTGGGACCGCCATACGGGGAATTCTCTACTGACTTGCATACCTTTTCTTCTGTGGGTCATGGGTCCATCAATGAATAGGAGACGGGGAGGAATCGACTGTTTGACTCGGACATGGGTGGATACTGGGTGCCAAGGTCATCGGGCGAAATTTGGACTGCCTCCAGACATGGTAGTCACACCCTCAGATCTTCATTGCAAAACGGCTTACTCGCAGGTAACGATCAGAGATCGATGGAAGATCTGCTGACTCAAGATATATCTCTTGTGAAATGTTATGGTCACATCTCCGGTATTGGTTCAATCATGTTGCCCAGCGGACAGCCTACGCTTTGAGCCACAATGTCATGACAGACCAGTCCGAACCTCATACGTCCAACATACAGTCCAACCATGAAGATAACGTCGTGCCAAGGAGCAAAGACCACCACAATCATACAATGCGTACATAATTGCCGCAGAAACACGGACAGGTTACCCTGAAACGTGTATACTTTGCGACAACAAACCTGGAACAACCGCCCCAAACGTGGGGAGGACGCCCAATATGGTAAGAATTTGATGCCAAGATAGACCGTGTCTATCCGCTATCTCGCTTAGAACCACCCGGGGCTCGGATACAGGGCCCGAGGCAGATACACCAAGTACCATTTCAAAAAGCCATCTACCAAGTCATGAGTTAAAGCCGGGAGATGACCGACGGCCCGTACTTCGCTCTACTATTGCCAAGCATGACCTCCCAGCTGGTGGCATCCTCCAGGTGGGGTAAGTACAGGTGGCCAAGAATTTCTTGTAGGTCATATGGCTGCTGCTTGGGCTGTGGATCTTATCTGATTTAGAAGCTTCGGCGATATTGGTCTTGGCAGCCCACATGGCTGGTGGGCTCCGTCGTCGGTGGCTACCGATACGGGCTCCTGTGAACGGCACAGGGCAGCTTTTAGGACAATTAGGCATACGTATACTTGGTTGGATCGTTATTTCCGACTTATCAATCTCTTTCCTCTTGGCAAATCAACCATATGGGTCAATGGTTCGTGGGCGAAATTCAACGGACCAGTAGATGGAGTATGATACAACGCTTTCCACCATCGGCTGCTCCGGAATTATGCTTCAGGCTTGACTGGAGAAGAATTCTCTGCTAGAGGAACGCCTCTTTCTGGAGATTTCAATTTGTGGGCTCGGATGTATTTGCAATCCAGCAATTAGAATGGGTCCCATTAGGCACCGTATGACAATAGAAGGCGAAAGTCTGGCCAGACATATATACCGGGCAATGGGCTTCCTCACCTTGGTCAGACAGACTTTGAGCTCATCCATCTACAATGCGTTCCCAGGCTGCCATCCTGCTTGGACTGAGCTGGGCCGTGAGCCCGGTTCTTGCCGGACAGGGCTTGACGATGTCTGCTCCCAATCTGGCTGATTACTGCTTTTACGCTATATATTCGTCTATCGGGTCTTATACATTCGAAGGGGCAACTTCGACGTCGTCGAGCTCTAGCTCTGGGCAAGGGTCTTCTTCTAGTCAAAGTTCCTCCAGTAACTCTTCCAGTGCCTCTTCACATGGCTCGTCCAGCAGCTCAAGTGCCCACCGCCGCAGAGCTTTGCGAGAGAAGCGTGGTCACCACGGTGCGAGTTCGACAGGAGGTTGTACAAGCACCGTGGGCGTCATGTCCTTGTATGCCAGTGCAAAGGCGTGGTGCAATGAGGAGCAATTCAACTCCGCCATTCCAACCTACTGGGAAAGTCTCTGTGAACAGAGCAGTGTGTCCCTGATCAGCCTGACCGAGATCGAGGCCAATGCCACCGATGAGTACATCGCCTCCTTGCCTGTTATCGACCCGGAAACAAATAGTACGACCACGACTGGAACCATTGAATCCCCTGTCCTCTTGAGCCATTCCTATTACAAGCGGGCTTACAAGTCTTACGTGGGTCAACTGCTCGGATATTGCTATTAATGATTTACTAACATATTTCCAGGTTACTCACGACTATGCTTTGATCAAAGACAAACGCTATGGATGGGGTCTCATGGGATACTGGGGCGGTGTCTTGGCACTTGGAATGATAGTCAAGGCCTGGAAGTTTGTCCGATCAAGTATGAGACTTTCTCATTCCGGTGATGCCGAGAAGAACAGCGCAGGCCCTCGAAGCAAGGCATTCGCACCAGTCGCTGCTGTTGCACACTTCATGCGCACATACTTTGTGATTCCTGCCAGCTTCGCTCCCTACCTGTCGAACCACCAACAGCTGTTTCTGTTTCACACCATCCCCAAACGACTGGATATGCTGATCGTCTTTGGTTTCTGGGCTGTCTCCATCATCTTGTCCTGCGTCAACTACCAAAGTTTTACGGGTAACATCAGGTGCGTTATCACAGAGTACACACAGCTAGTACGCCTCAGCTAACGGTTCTACTTCAAGCACGCCGAGTCTGTTCCAGCAGAACTGGCAATACTCGTCCGACCGCACCGGCGTTCTGTCTTACGCTTGCCTGCCGTTCCTTTGGCTTTTTGCTGGACGCAACAACATCTTTCTCTGGGCGACCGACTTTAATGTGCAGTCTTTCAACATCTTCCACCGTCACACGGCCTGGGTGTGTACCCTTCTTGCCATTGTTCACTCGATCGCCTACACTGTAGTCTTCCAGGTTTATGGTTAGTCCCCTCTTCACAACCAGTTTCTACTTTCCACACATAGTTGACAAAATATCCGATACACAGATGGCAGATACCACAGCGCGCTGGAGCAGAACTACTTTTACATGGGTATTGTGGTATGTTAGACCTGTCCTGAAAATCAGTGGTGCGCAGCAATCCTAATGACTATGTAGGCTACGGTTGTTATGGCAGTTATGCTCTTCCAGTCTACTACTTGGCTTCGTCAGAAATTCTACGAGACCTTCCTAATCATCCACGTCCTCTTGGCCATTCTGACCATCTACGCCTTGTTCCGGTATGCTCCACTAAGCAACACAAATGACTGTCACTATCTCTAACAGCTATACGGCAGCCACACTAGCTTCGACGGAACCGTCTACAACGGCTACCTCTGGCCCATGGTCGCCATTTGGGGCTTTGACCGTACAGTTCGCTATGTACGCATGCTCTACTGCAACCTCCATGTCAAGTTCGGCAAGGGATTCATCTCCACAACCTCCTCCACGGTCACCTACAGCCCCGAAAGCGACTTGATCCGGATCGAGATGTACCCTGCCTCTCAGACCCTGAAGCCTGGCCCAGGTCAACACTATTACCTTTACCAACCCGTCACTCTCCGCGGTTGGGAAAACCACCCTTTCACTCTGGGATGTTACGAGAACGCAAACTCGAAGGAAGACTCCTCGAAGCTTATCTTCTACATCCGTCCTTATGACGGCTGGACTAGACGTCTGCGCGACCAATGCCAGAAGGCCGGCACTGAAATTCGCCCTAAGCTCCTCCTGGAAGGCCCATACGGACACCAAGCCCCACTCCACACCTTCGACACAGTCCTCATGATCATGGGTGGAACAGGTATTGCCTGCGCTGTACCTTACATCCTGGACCACATCTCACGTGTCGAGGCCGGCAAGACCAATACCACTCGTATCCAGCTTATCTGGACAGGCCGCCAGAAGAAGATTTTCGACGAAGTCTGCTGCAGAGATCTGTCTGCGGCTTTGGAGCACAGCGACATCACCACTACGCTCTTCTGCACTGACAAGTCGGCTGCCGGAAATGTGATTGACTCTGGAGCGACCACGCCGACCAAGGAGAAGGAGGCTGTTGCGGATGCTATGGCTCTCCAGGACAGGTCCAGCGGGTCTATTCGCTCCGTCGAGGACCTGAATGTCGAGCTGCGCTACGGCCGGCCTGCTATTCGCGCTAGTGTCATGACTGCTGTGCGTGAGGCGGAGGCTAGCTCAGCCCGCTTGGCTGTTATTACGTGTGGCCCGGCCGTGATGGCGGATGAGTGCAGGTCTTCGGTGTACGAGGTCATGAAGGGTGGATTCCAGGATATTGAGTACTTCGAGGAGGCATTCGGATGGTAAGGTGGGGCTGAAAGAGGCGATGACGCAAGGTGATTGAAAGGGGTTTACGGTTTGGATTGATTATGTTTGCCAATGAGTATATGTAATGTGAGACTGTGCAGGGTTACTGCAGAGTAATGAAAAGTTACTTAATGTTGATTACTATCTACGGTTGCGAAAAATTTTATTCCCTCTGTACCTTGGGATAGTCTATATCAGCAGCTCTTGACTGCGAACGGCCCATGAATTGATCCAGGAGACTCACATAGAGGCCTGCACCACACCCAGGCAACAGCAGACATATTGAATCTCACCGGTAATCACCAACCCCGATCAAACTCCGGCCCCAATGCCCGTTGGCACCAGAAACCGCCCCCTCGGGCCAAAATGCCAACTCGGGCTGCCTTGACGGGAGGAACCACCGCCGGCGGATCCCCACCGCGCGGAACCTTCGCAAACTCGTACCCGAAATAAGCTAAAAGGACGGGTATGACCCGCATTTACAGACTTTGCATCCTGGCGGTGATCGATCTGTGTGGGGGGAGAGGGGCTCTCGCAAGCTTGTACTGGATATGCTGCTCTTGGATATGGATGGAGTGGGGTTGTAGGGCATCGGAGCCTCGGTTAGGTATCTCCGCTAGCTTTCACCTCGGTGGGCGAGGCGTTTGAAGGGAATTCGTTCGCTCCGGGGCTTGGCTGGACTAAGGATCTGGGTGAGGGCTTGGCACGGTCCAGCCTGGCTGTGGTCAAGATGAGATTTTCGGGCGGAATGCGCGCCAGGTGCCGGGGCCTATTTATTTTCAGGGCGTAGGGCGGTAGTTTATTACTCATGATTCTCGTGATAAATAGCGGGACAAGAATATAGTCATCACGGTACCGCAAAAAGTGGCGGCAACGTCTTCTCCTGCTCAAGACAGCCCAAAGCGCCTTCTGGTTCCAAAGTTTTGGGGATGACACTGAGGCTACCGGTGATATCTTCTGTCGAGTGTGTGGAGTACACTCATAGCCATGTATTAGGGTTTTATCTAGACTCTGCCAAGACGTTCTTCCTTCCACCGTGGTACTAGGCTGTAAGTCAGCTACCCTTCCCACTTTGACATTCCTAGTTTACCAAAAAAAAAAAGTTTGTAAGGCCGTTCAGGTAATACTTTTTCATAGAAAGGAATGTTCGTTGGATGTTCCAGCTACTTGTCCCGAAGACCCTTGCCTTTTGCAGAGTGCTACATGTAAAGTACTTGTATAATATATATATTCCGTGCTGTTGGTCACCTGGTAGACGCGATAGAATAGACATATAAAGGTCGGGATCTGTGCAGCAAAAGGTACCGATACTGAGTACGAAGGTCAGATTATGATTATAAACAAAGTACTGTTGGCAAATAATCGCTGTACTTCAAATTTGGTCTTGACAGAGTCTCATCATAATCTAGAATCTACTACAACTAGAATCATGTTCAAATCAAGATAAGCAGCTCAAGATATAACAAACTTGGTATTTTGGTGGAATGCATCAAACTGTTACCACAACCATTGAGCGGATATATATTCACTATCGTACACGCTGATCCAAAGCACCTGTCTCTTGCCTGGCAGCATTCAGCTATCCACAGTTTGTTTGACTAGTGAACATACGAATTCCAGTAGATCACTTAAGTCCACTGTGATATATATACCTTGAACACTGCCGTTGCCGTATTATTATGCCCATATACATACTGGTGACGCAAATGTGTATACTTGAAGACATGAATGAAGATACGTCATGGATCGACCTGAAAGTGGAAGCCGTAAGATAAGATAAGATAAGCGACGAATATTTCACACTCATCTATTCTGCCAAGATAATGTCCCGTAGGCAATATATCTTGTCTTATACCGTCCCTCATATCCGTTGCAACATACTAGATCCTGACAACGCGTACGGCTGTATAAATGAAGTAACCTAATCTTTCTACGTATCTGAATATTCTGAATTCAGGGACACAGTAATTGGCTGAACGCCTAGAAAGCA